AGACAGAGACAGAGACAGAGACAGAGACATGGCTTACGCAAATAATTAGAAATTATTTTGTGTCTCTGGGTTTTTCCTGGAATTTGGATGCCTGGCATTTGTAGTCTTTGATTTATATTATAATCAATATTAGACAGCTTGTGAGGTGAGATTCTGGCTCTAAGGTTGTAAGCAAGAAAGCAGACTCTGTGAAGTGGTCATTCCAGGCAGAAATCACGAAATCTCAGTTTACTACGGGGAAGACAATTTTTCACAATTTAGAAGGAACTGCCATACTTTATCTCATCTCTCTTCTTCTTCTTCTTCTCTCTCTCTCTCTCTCTCTCCCCCCCCCCCCCCCGTCAGAGTCAATTATCTGCATATAAAAAGAGGGCCTTTAAAAGTATTACCAGGATCAATATGCTTTTTAAACAAACATTCATTAAAGATACAAGTATGTTAATAACAGGCTAGTGATTTAAAGTGCAAATAAAGCTTTAAATATAGAAATTCTAGTTTCTCAAAAGTATTTCTATTACAAATTCTACTATTTTTCTGCCTAACATAAAATATTTGTAATGTTGTATTTGTTTTCTTTAAAATTGGATTCCCTCTGTACAAGAGAAAAAAAATGTGAGTACTGTACTCCAGGTCCAGAAGGTCTATTTTTAAACCTGCTGGAATCCCTCTACAAATAGCTTTCTGCAAATAGCTGAATAGAGAACACAGATTAATTCCTTGATCTAATATCAAGATACAAGTAAGCTATAAAATATTTGAGTTAGTTTTAGTTCACTGGGTGGTTTTATTAGTAATGAAATACTTTATACAAACACCCAACTTTCAAACCTGTGTTTGCTGAAATGACTTCAACCGCTTCTTAAATCGTGACGGGAGAACAAAATCACAGCCCCTTGCCAGGAAAGCTAACTCTCCTCTTAAATCCGGGTCCCTTCGTAAAGATGTTTCCTTGATCATCATCTTTGAAAAGTGAGCATTTACTTCGCAACTGTCCAGCACACTTCAGAAGATAGTCAGATTTAATAAGCTATCAATCTTGTCAGGCAGAAAGGTTATTTCTCTTCTTATCTCCCAAACAAATTAAATTTAAGCATTATGTACTCCCAGCCTCTTGGGACAACAATCCGTGCTTGTCCTGACATGTAGCTGGTTCCCAAATACAGCCTGTGGCTCCCAATGCCTGCTCATAATTTTCTAATTAGAAAGACAGCCTACAAAGGGTCTGTTGCTCCTTGCAGGTAGCTTTATGTCAAATTGACCTGCACATGTTGCGAATACAGAGCCTTCTGGGAAAGGAAGCACCCACTACTCCGAGTACCAAAGTTAGAAACATTACAGCTGGATCTAAAAATACCAACTTCTCAGATAAAGCTAACTTCTCAAACTCAGAGTATATAAGATGTCACTAAATCCACATAAAGCAGTTTCTACTCAAACAAGGAAAAAAGAATGTATAGAATGTTTTCAACTGCCACTACTTAATATTTTGTGAAAAAAAATTCACATTTGAGACTATTAAGAATTTTTCTTATTTGAAGAGAACCAAATATTTAAAACTCTTTAGACCTTTCTAGTCCAAATGTGGAGAAAAACAGAAATTTTCATCCTCAAACTGTAATTTACAAAAAATTTACTGGTCTCAGATTTTGAAAAAAAAATTTTTAAAAAGCAGAAGTGTAGCTTAATCATCAAACATACTGTTTTATGAAGTTATTATAGATTCAGTTTGAAAATTTATTCACAAGTGTTTAAGAAACTGGAACAAATGAATACTGTAGACAAGTTTTAGACACGTATGACAATATATTTAGCTAAAATAAGTGTATAAAAAATTATCAAAGATGTCATGGTGCATCCTGAATTTATGAGACTTTTACGTTGAGGAATTTTAAATAAATCACCTCAGATTTAGAAAATATCATATAATTTTAATATCATATATTAAATACAAATAAATTAGGCTTTTGTGTTTAAGATTGATATTTCAGAATGTTTTTAATCTTATCATCCAATATTTATAATTCTAGAAAATTTGAAGCTAGTATTATTTAAAAAACAAAAAAAATAGTTTGAAATCTTTTATTGTGTAATTGAGCGGGTATTAAATTCTTTAAACAAAAAAAGGGGATACAAATGAAGGACCATTTTGTATCTGTATACACAAAATAGGATAGATATACAGCTACTTTCTCTTAATTCAATGAGAAGAAAGATTTGTACGAATAGTGTTTGGACAGGATATCATGTCTGCATCTTGTACTATGAATAACCACTACAAAGACAACAATATGCAATGTATTAATTATTGAAACTGTCCTATTAATCGGTTCTGAAACTGTCTCATCATTATTTGTTTCTCAATAAAATTACTAAAAACAATTCTTTAGTTTTCTGGCTGGGTGTGGTGGTGGATACTTGTAATCCCAGCACTGAGGAAGCTATGGCGAGAGGATCTTCATGAATTTGAAGCCAGCCTGGGCTACTCAGTGAGTTCAAGACCAGGCTGGAATACATAGTAAGACCCTATTATCAATTTAAATAAGTCTTTAGTCTTCCATAATTTAAGCCAGCTTTTTTCTACATTCTAACAACTCTATAATGTGTACACTGGGCTTATATATCTATAATTGGTTTCTTATTTTTTTTTAATTTAAGCTGTGGAACTTCAGCTCATAGTAAACCTTACCTGAAATCTTTCACTATGCACTAAGGTTAAAAGAAGATTACAGCTGAAAATCATTGGTTTTCTGCTTCATTCCAAGTCTTCCTTATTTTCCCACTATTCTCTCTGGGCTTACATGTTAACTTTTTAAGCTAGCTTTCCTGTATTCTTCCCTTATACTTGTTCCTAGAATAGTCTTATTTTCCTCATTACTTATTTCTAAATTAAAAAGTTTGTTACAGTCATTAGACTTATGATTTAATTTTATTCAATTCAAACATATCTCCCCCTTTCCATTATCAACCTCTGGCCTTGGGGGTGACTCTTCATCCCTCTCTTGAAAATGCTCCCTTTCCTCAAGTCATACACAAAATTACTATATATCAAACATATACAAAAAACTATTCAAATTCCAACTCCAATTTTACATATTTAGGTCTCTTACTGTGATCATTTTACATGTGCAATGCTCAGTGAAAGGCTGTACGATATCTTTAAACAGACTCCACTTTATATACTCTCTGGATTAGCCAATTTTTGTAAAACAGAGCAACAAATATCCACAACACACTGATGCACGCTAGTGGTTCACTTTGTTACACTCTCATATGTCTAATCTCAGTAACTAAGCTGCACTGTTCCTACGAGTCAGTTGTTTCTGTTCCCAACTAGCTTGTGTTGGTTGAACTTATCAAAATAATGCAACCATACACTATATAATGAAACATGAGTGTAGAAAAAAGAATATTTATAAAAAATTAAAAATCTGAATTTTACAAAGAGTAAAATTAAATAAAATACTTTTGCTATAAAATTAGTTATGGGTAAGATAAGAGAAAAATCATTAAAATCTAGAAGGTCAGTACATTTAAACTGCTTCACTACTGACTTAAATCATGCTTTATTTATTTATTTGTGATACCAGGGATTGAACTCAGGACCTTTACTGAGTTATCTTCCTGGCCCTAAATTCCTGCTCTAAAGAAGTGAAATTAGAAACAGTGAACAAATGCATTGCAAGTGTGATTTATTTAAGAAAGGTATCACAGAACTTACAAAATTTATTCTCAAAGAAAAAGGCTTGGCTCCATATAAAAACATATCAGAAAGTAGGAAGAAAATGTTCAAGTGGGAAGAGGAACAAGGGAGGGGGTGGGGGAAAGGGAAAAGGAAAAAAAGAATAGAAAAGAATAGAAATAAAATTTATGTAAATAAGGAGGGAAAGAGGGTTTGAGGAGAAGGGAATGGGGAAGAAAAGAAGGACGAATATGTATTATGCACAGGCACAAATTCCCTATGATGAATGTGGACATAATGTAGAGCAAAAGCATACCAATACAATTAAATTTATAAAAATGAAATAAAAAGGACATCTGAATAAATTAACAG